ACCGGGAGCCAGTACTAATGGAAGAACCAACAGTTGAGATGGCCCAACAAATACTGCAAAGATCGCCTTGCAAAAATAATTTGCATCGAAGAAGAAAACCTACGGGTTAGAAATGCGCAGTAGAGGCGCTTACACGAAAACTATGCCCTAGACTTTCCACATTTGGATCTAGAATAGAGGGACTCAACTGTAGGTGTCTATGAAATAAATCTTGCGCCATCTGACACCCAGGACACTATGCGCAGACACAGAATATATTATAGCTTAACCGCACTGCGGTTTAGCTATATATTCTGTGGCGCAGAGGAACAAATAATGCAATTGCAAAAAGACCTGTTACTGAATCACCCCAATCTGATCAGATTAAGGGTGTTTTCGCGCTTCAGAAACGTAGGCACAAGATTTTCATTGAATATGACTAAAAATGTAAGAGGTCATTATTGTACCTGCAAGTCAGGATCCAGAACGCTGGGCACTTGTGCACACATATAAGCAGTTATTTGTTATTTGGGTTACGCGCGACACTAACCAAATACTCGTGTATATGGGAAGACCTGAGTTTGTTACTCAATTAGGTAGATACCTACTTACCTAAATAACATTTTTTTTCGTTCACTGCTCTTTCAATAATACTTGACCAAATTAAAAAAAAAAACCCAACAAGCTATAACTCGAAATCAACGCGACAGATTTTTGAATGGTATGTGGAGAAACAACAGATAAACACCCGGACTAATAACAAACAAACAGTACCTTTATTGTATCATTTTCTAACATATTTACTCACACTAATTAAGCATTTCTGATCTTTTGAAGTTTATTTACTCCATTTTTAATAGTATATCTGATCAAATTATGTAATTCAATATTCAATATACAATTTGAACTTTGACATCATTTATATCCAAAATGACGTCTTTGAGGACCTATAACTCGGAAACCCCTCGATAGATTTTTTTGCGTCCATGACAGCTTTTAATCAGGATAACGAGAAGAATATCATATCAAAATTTCAGACGATTTGACCGGGACCACTTTTCCTATCTTTTTGTGCGGGGTCCTTACTTAGCTAACCTAATTTTTTGAGTGATATTCGAAAACCGTTAGGGTTGAAAACCCAAATTTGATTAGGGTTAGGTGGTAGGTTGAACATTCTTGGACGACCGTAGGGATTGCCTGGTCAAAGCGCAAGCCGAGACTGACAATACGAATTCCAGTACGAAGTAAACATACTTACTATTTTTCTGATAATTAAAAATTATTTAAAGGACATAAATTATTATGATCGACTTGTTAATTAATTTTGAAATAGCATTATTAATTTTATTCACAAATGGGTTAAGGATGCCACGAAATAATTAATTTATATGCAATAAAATTCTAAAAAATAAAATGGTTTTCGAAAAAAAATTGAAACAGGAAATATAATTTCCTTACAGTACAATAATGAATATTTCCTTAGGTAAACTTCTGTTTCCTCGCAACGACTAGGTGAAAGGAAATATGTATTGACATTTCCTTTCGAAAATGTCAATATTTTTGATCTATTTTTGGAAAAGAATTTTATTTGGAAAATACTAACAAAATACTCTCTTATAAAAAATTTTAATTCGAATGCAAAGCCAAGCCAGTTTTACTTTTTCAGACTACGTTCCTGTTGGTTAATAGTCGCACCTTGACCCCAAGGCTTTGATTATTGTTGCGAGAGCTCCGATGTATATATACCGAAATTATTCAGGCCTACCCACTATATAATAAAGCGCCTAGCACACTCCTTTTCAGGTGTGTCCTATAATTACCAATGTAAATAAAGTCACTAAAATAATTCTTTTGAGTGCTTTTTACAATAAAACGGAATGGAAATATATTCCCAAACAAATGGTCGCGAAGGAAGTTCGATGGTGTTTAAACCAGGATAACACACATTATGAAAATTGATGGAGTACCTGCATTGTCATCACTCCGAAACTGGTAAAAAAGAAGTCTGCAATGTTGCATTTTTCCTCAGGATCTATCTGTTCCGATAGTATTCCTAATGTTGCATTTATATCTACTCATAGGACGAGCTAAATACAAGCATGATACCCGTTTTTCTCTACTCTGGATTATCAATAAATTGGCTTCCAATTTATAGTTTACATCTACAGCTATACAATTAAGTATCTTATGCTGTCCTGCGCCCTGCAAAAAAACACAAAAAAATCCACTTCAAGTCCATTTTTGCAAGGAATTGATATAAGTATTATTATGTCAAGTTCAGGGGATGCAGAAATGATAAGAAGCAATATCAATTTGGGTTTGTTCGGTTGCTTCAAGTTTTTCGTTAAAAAAAAAACAAACTACGTATCCAAAAAATTTGACAAAAACGTGAATTTTCCGGAAACTTCGTCTCCGGTTGGAAAACCTAGTGTAATGGTACTAAGGAAAGATGTGTTGAGTTTTTCTTTAATTTTCTAAATATATTTATTTTAAAAATAGTTGAATAGACATATTATCAGAAAAGGCTTCATATAGGCCCGTTGCAAATTGCTTTGATGTTGAACATAACGAAACTCTGTCTTAGTCAATCAAAAGATTTGATTTGACTGTAAAGTCCATAGCGTATTTCAAGAGTTAATTATTCCAAATATTAGTAATAATTGGGGAATTTTAAAATATTCAATTATGGTTAGCAACTTAAGTGAGAAACTCACCTTTCTCCGAAAAAAAAACTATTATAGCGTATCAAACGCGTAACACGCAAAAGTCTTCCAAGAATCCACTATCCAGAGAGGATCGATATGCAGTGTTGCCTGGGCGACGCCATAGGGCCTGACCCAACAACAAAAGTCCAACTTTAGTTTGAAACTTGGCACGCCATGCGACACGCCACCATCGGTCTAATAAAAGATGGTTTTAGACAATTATCCCTAACTCGGCCTCAATATAACCTATTATCCGGTGCTAACCATGTTCTCGAGGGAACCACCGTTTATGTATCCAGGAGAGACATGTACAATTGGATCAAGGGAAAAATTGAGGTTCGTTTTGAGCTGATTGACGATTTTAATGGCTTTTTTGACTGAATCAAATTTATTTATGCTATACTGCGTGCTTTCAATGGGTGAAGGGATTATGATACACATTTTCTCGGAAACAATTTTGCACTGATGCTATTTCACTATTTATACCAACTTAGAGTTCCCAAAATTTTAAAACCAGCTTGAGACATGGCTTACGCTCATGGTAGGGGCAAAAAACCACCCTAAAATAAGGCAAGAATTGTAGTAAGGCTTGCTCTGAAACATGAGGCACGCAATTTTTTATTTATCTTATTATTGTAAGATCAAACGTTAGAAATTGTAGATATCGTTTTCGCGAATAAAAGTAATGACAAAGACAAATCTTAGGCTTAAAAGCCACAAAAAAAGTGTACACACCACATCATCCTCATTATAGAAAATCTTATCTGTCACACACACATACATGGTGAAATGGTTTATTTTTATTTGCTGGCACCAAGTAAACAATAAAAATTAGATAAATCTTTTGTGCGCTGCTGAGTTTTAATAATTATTCAGTCGCGCGTCAACTAGAGGAAAAATTCATTCAAAGTTCCCTTAACATTCCAAATAAGTGATTTTCTAGCTAGTTTGACCAAACTAAATGTTTGACAAAAATTATCAAACAGTGGCAAAATGCCAAGCATGATCAACCGTATTTTTACGCGTATATTTTAGGTGAAGTCAGTCGAGCGCGCGCGTACATCGCGGATAAAACCGTCGGCCTCGAGAAGCTTAAAATTTTCCGGGAAAACTATCAAATGAACTTATGATTTGAAGTGAATTCGTGATTTTACGTAAAAAAAAACCTATGTATCTGAGTGCTAACATGTCAGCGCCTTGGCCAGTGAAAAAAGGTGCCTTTAAGAGTATGGATTTCAACGAAGATCCTCTACCGATTTTGATTTCGAAGATTAACACACCTCCTAGACTAAAAGTACATCTGCCCAATAATGTAAATACATTAATAGTTTTGATTTTTTATGAGCTAAGCCATCACATAGTAGGTATTCACTTAGTGTCACATGAACCATGAACACTTTCTAAATTGGTTCCGTTCGGATTGAGCCGATAAGTTATTCTGGAAATCAAATTTCTTTTGAAATACATAGGTATAGTAGTGTCCTTTCGATAAGATTATGTAGGAAAATGTAATCAGTTAGATTTGGAGCAAAATAAGTATTACTCAACTAGGAAATGTGATTTTTTTTCACAAAAATCACCAATAGGCATAGTACCTATACCTATATCCAATGTATATTCAACAATAATACAGTCGTTATAATTTATTTAAAAAATGGATTTTTCGCTTTATTGTTTACAAAAACAGTAAAAATAGGATCTTAGTCATGATATCAACTTTTACTGATAAGTGCCAATTGGGCAAAAATCCAAACCCCTATATTCTTACTATTTTTACGAGAAAAAAAATCACGTCACCTGAATATTCTCACAGGTTGGGTTTAGTGTAATAGAAAAAATAGTTCCGTCGTTATTTACCCTTGAAATATTTCTTACTCCTTTAACCCTCAAAATTCTACCTCAGCTCGTGAAGGTAGCGTTTCTCGCTGAAATGATGCTCTGAAATTGATTGAGTTTTCTAATCACTTTTTCGAATTGAAAATGATTCTCACATCTAAATTGATTTATGAAGAACGTTTATTGGCGGATTTTCTACAGAGCATACATACAGGGTGACAATAAATATTTTTCATGAAATTATAGAACTTTCAATGTAATAGGTAGTAGGTACCTACCCACTTGCAATTTTCTCCCATTTAGAGACCTACCTACCTACTGACTCTTATCTTCTATCACCTTAGATACTTAAAATATATTTTATGATGCAACAGCTTCAAGTAATCAAAAACAATCTGCATAAAATAGGTGTCCCTGGCAGCTCTGGGAAACTGGGATGTTAGCTGTTTTTGTGGTTCTAAAAAGTTTTATTGGTTTCAGGAAGCCCGAAGTCTAAAAACAGCTGATATATCCCAGCAAGAATCCAAAAATCTAGCCCACACCAACATGAAACTGACAAGCGATATATTCAGCACCGAAAAATCGGCCACGGAATCTCAACAACATCGGCAAACTGTGACCTCTAGCGGTACTTACAATCAAGAACATAGTAGATCTACTAGCCGTGCTGTATATTCTGCTTCAGCTAAAGGAATCACTTCTAGTGAAGCTACCAAAATGATAGCGCAGGTGAGGGTTGAAAGCAACTATATTTTTATTTCAGGAACTCCCTGTAATCAACAGATTCCAACATAAGATACCTTTTAGGTACCTATGAACGCCAACCGATTGGTCAGGATTGTTCAAGTTGACAATAGGACCTCGAACTGAATAATGGTAGAATATATTTCTGTCAAATTTTCTAATATTTCTATATGTTGTGCTAAGATACATACATAACATACATACTCTTGAAACTTGGTGCACGTGTAAGAGACTTCTCATGTCCAGTTTTTTATATACAGGGTGCTATTTGTTTTAAAAATTGGTTTTTCCATAAATATCTTAAATAGGCTTTTTTATAATATAGTCATACTATAATTGAAATTATTCTCAGGGGTACTTAACGAATATTATTGACAAAAGAATGTGCGCGACTGACTGAATTATTTCAGTTACAAAGTTATATTTTTAGTTGCTTGATCCAATCAAAATATAACCCCTTTTTTTTTCGCTTTTTTTTTTTTTTTTTTTTTCTTTTACGGATATGCGCACTCGCAAGGAAAATGTCCTATCGCGCTCGAGAAGCGGCAAGTGCGCGGAAATGTCGGTGTATGTTGGTCTTGAAACGGTTCAGGTTGTAACCTGCAGGGAAAACCGTCGCAGGGAGTTTATTCCACAGCGATGCTGTCTCCAGAGATATGAATTCTGATATAATGAGGTTCTTGGTGCCTCTAGTTTGACAGTAAATTCATGGTTACCGTCTGTTTGACGGGTTCGCCTGGTAGGTGCTACTCTCGGTGGAATCATACGCGCCAACTCTTCAGAGCATTTTCCGTGATAGTACCTGTAGAAGAGAGATAAATCGCCCACAGATCTGCGATGTTCGAGACCATCCAAGTTACGAGTAAGTGCGGGGTCATTGATCAGCTTGATAGCTCGTTTTTGCACGGTATTCAAAAGCATTAAGGTATGTTTGGGTGCTGCACTCTATATATGTGAGCAGTACTCCATAGTTGGTCGAATCTGGGCTTTGTAGAGTGTCAGCAATTGGCTTGGTGTGTACAGATGTACGAAATAGCACCCCCAGCTTTTGGGAGGCCCTTTTAGCAATATCTGCCACGTGACTGTGCCAAGACATGTTGGTCTCTGCAGTAACCCCCAAGATGTTCAACTGACTCTGTAATGTGACAGCACTTCCAGATAGCATGATGTTTGGCTCACCGGTGCTGGTCTTTTTTGAAAACAGAGCTGCTTGGGTTTTCTGCGCGTTGAACTGTACAAGGTTTTTGTTACCCCAGTCCTCTATTATCTCCAGGTCATTATTTATCTGCGATATTTGAGTTAGTCTAAGATGATGGAATTCACGTGCGGAAAGACCTGTGGGTGGTATGAGTGAGGAGACTACATTGCCATCGTCTGCAAAGCAATAAAGTAGATTTACTGTTTTATCTATGAGGTCATTTATGTAAATCAGAAAAAGAGTTGGCGAAAGGATTGCTCCCTGTGGCACACCAGCATTTATTTGGTAAGAGTTGGAGTTCTGGCCATCCAGTGCAACATAAATGGATCTGTCCTTTAGGTAACTTTCAAACCAAGTGCAAAGTTTCGGCGATAATCCCATTGCCTTGAGCTTGTTGAGCAGATTTTCATGCCAAACTTTGTCGAATGCTTTAGATATATCTAACGCAATTGTTCTTGTTTCACCCCGCAACTCAATCGCTTTTTGCCATAAGTGAGTGACGTATGTAAGTAAATCGCCAGTTGACCTATATTTTCGAAATCCGTATTGCTTATCGTTGATAATTTTGTACTTTTCCAAGTACTTGGTTAGGTGATTGTTCACAACTCTTTCCATTACTTTTGATATCACCGGAAGTAGAGCAATTGGTCTATAGTTTAACGGATCTGTCTTTTTTCTTTTCTTTGGAATGGGTTGTACTGCGGCAGACTTCCATGATGATGGATATACTCATTGCCTGTAAGACAAATTGAATAATTTTGCGAAAGTTGGGGTGAGTTCGTTGGCGCAATTTTTGAGTACTATTGCGGCAATGCCATCCGGACCCATTGCTTTGTTTGTATCCAGCTTTTTTAGGGATTTTCGTATTTCTCTGTGACAAAAGGGTACCTCTGGCATACTATGGGAAACCCTTTCAATGAACGGTGGAGTTTTTCCGTTTGGCACTGTTAGGTTGGAGTTGGAGGAAAACATTTGGGCAAGCATATTAGCTTTTTCCTCTGATGTTGTGGCTAAGTGATTATTTTTATCTGTAAGTGGTGGTATGGATGACTTGGTGAAGTTAGATCCAACAGCTTTTGCAAGAGACCAAAAAGACCTAGAACTACTTGGACAATTCAGCAACCTGTTTTTTATTTTTTGATTGTATGTTTCTTTAGCGGACTCAATAGTAATTTTGCAACTATTTCTGGCTTCTATAAATTCTGTGTGGTTTTGAGCGGTTTGTTGTCGTTTCCAAAGGTTATATGCTCTGTGTTTTTTCTGTACAGCCGTTTGACACTGGCTGTTGAACCAAGGTTTTGCATTAGCTCTACGTTTAGTTGTATGTGGGATATATGCGTCCATTCCAGATAAGATTACTTGTGTTATTTCATTACAGCAAATAGTGGGATCAGCTGTTTTAAAGCAAACCTCTTGCCATGGAAAATCCAGGTAATACTGTTTTAGGTCATTCCATTTTGCCGATTTATAGTGCCACATTTTACGAGGAAGTGGTTGTAGGCTTGGTGGGATGAGCATTTCGCACTTTGTTATTATAAGTTTATGATCGGACGAACCAAGTGGAGCATCTACTTGAATTGTGGTTAGGTTACATTTTACAGGATTGGTGGTTAGGAACAAGTCTAAAAGCGCTGCAAATTCGCCCCTTTCTGAGATACGGGTAGGTTCATCGACAAGCTGCGTTAGACCACAACTTATGGCAAAAGCTTCTGCTTCTCTGCCTTCGTTATCTGTTTTGTTGTGGTGTTTCAGCCAGGGTATATTGTGGACGTTGAAATCGCCTAAAAAGACAATATCCGCCTGTGGATAGTTTGACTGTATACTATCACAGCTTTCGGATAATGTCGCGAAAAAGTTTTGGTAATCGGTGTTACTTGGCGGTCGGTAGAGGCAGCAGATAAACTTGGTCGATGACTTTGAGGTGAATTTTAGCCATATGATATCAAGGTTCGCTGGTTCTAGCTTCTCCTCTCGATGACATGAAAGGTCATTTTTAATGTACACACAGATCCCAAAATTATGTCGAAATCGGTGGTGTAGGTCATAGCCGGGATAAAGATAGTTCACAATAGGTGTTGCAGAACTGATTTTAGTTTCAGTGAGAACAAGGATGTCAGGTCTTTGTTCTTCAAGATGTTGGTGAACTGAATTCATATTTGTACTTATTCCTCTTATATTGCTAAAATCAATTCTGAGTTGAGTTTTTGATCTTCTCTTTATATCTTTGCATGAAGGACCCCCAGGATCACCCGACGCCCGGAGATCCGAGTGGTCGGGTATTTTACCTCCGGAATATTTTGATCTGGAGGCGCCATCATGCTATCTGTTACTCATTGTTGGAACCGGACTGCCAGCGCAGTAGCGGAACGTGTTTAGAGTAAAACGTTTCTTATTACAAAAATTCACTCGCATTCATTTATTTTTCGTGTTTTTTCTTAATGTTCTTGTACTCTAAATGGACATGCAATAAAAGTGATTTTCATTTTCTTTGTTCTCAAAAACTGAGCATGATACGGATATAATTTAGATGACAATAAGTTGTGTTTTTGATTGCTTAGTCTGGAAAAAAGCATTAGCATAATAAATGTTAGTGACGTACTTTTTTTGTCAATAATAATCATTGAGATGTGCCTGGGACGCCACTGGACCTAATAATTTCAATCTAGTTGAGGCTTATCAGCGCCTTATTACTAAACAAATGATACTGCCAAATTTCAACAAAATCGGCCAGAGCCTATTTAAGATTTAAAAAAATGTATTCTCATGTATGTAGGTATATCGAAAACTAGACATGAGAAGTCTCAGCCTTAAGGTCAAACCTATAAAAAAATAAGGAAACTTGACAAAGATGTGTATGTATATTGTACCATTATCCAGTGCGGAGTATTGATTAGAAGGAGTATAAGTACAATACAATTCCACACCATTGCCTCTAAGATTTTCCTAAAAAAAAAAAATATATTTTCCAGATGCATGAGCTGATGAACAGCTGCCCAGAAGACGAAATCCTGGCAACATCCTTCGACGATTTGGAACAATTATCAGCCTCATCCAATTACATCGAAGTAGAGAAAGCCATTAATAAATACACGGCATACTTGGAGGCTTCAATAAAATACATCCAAAAAACTGATAATGGCAAAGCACCTCAAATTCTGAACAAAATCAATGATGTGGTACGCAAAGCCTGGGCAGTTCCAACTTTTGGTCACGAATTAGGGTATAGCCTTTGTAACGCTTTAAGAAAATGCGGTGGACTCGATATATTAATGACCAATTGTACCAAAACAGAAGATGACTTACAATTTAACAGTGCAAAGCTCCTGGAGCAGTGCCTAACTACTGAAAATAGAGCCCATGTAGTTGAACATGGTCTGGATAAAGTTGTCAATGTTGCCTGTGTATGTACTAAACATACTACTTCAGTCGAACATTCACGAGTTGGCACTGGAATTTTGGAACATTTATTCAAACATAGCGAAGAAACGTGTAGCGACGTCGTCAAGCTAGGAGGCTTAGATGCGTTACTATTCGAATGTCGAAAAAGTGACGTGGAGACCTTACGTCATTGCGCTGGTGCCTTAGCTAACCTTAGTTTATACGGAGGTGCTGAAAACCAAGAAGCGATGATCAAACGAAATGTGCCAGTGTGGTTATTCCCATTAGCTTTCCATAATGATGATAATATTAAGTATTACGCCTGCCTTGCCATTACTGTTCTAGTTGCTAACGCTGAAATTGAAGCCGATGTTATTCAATCTGGTACTCTAGATCTTGTGGAACCGTTCGTCACCACACACAATCCTTCTGAATTTGCAAAATCTAACTTAGCTCACGCACACGGACAAAGCAAAACTTGGTTGAAGAATCTAGTACCAGTTCTAAGCTCAAAACGTGAGGAGGCAAGAAACCTGGCCGCATTCCATTTTTGCATGGAAGCGGGTATCAAGAAACAACAGGGCAATACAAATATATTCTCAGAAATTGGTGCCATAGTCGCCCTCAAAAAAGTTGCTAGTTGTCCAAACGCTGTGGCATCAAAATACGCAGCACAAGCTTTAAGGTTGATAGGCGAAGAAGTACCGCATAAATTGAGCCAACAAGTACCACTTTGGTCCTCTGAAGACGTAGAAGAGTGGGTGAAACAAATTGGATTTTCTGAAATTGTTCCCAGTTTTGTGGAAAGCCGGGTAGATGGCGATCTTTTGCTACAATTGACTGAGGACAATTTGAAAGAAGATATTGGTCTGACTAATGGAATTAAAAGGAAAAGGTAAGGTTATGAAATCATAAAGAATTTTCATAATGTATCACTAGTCAATTAAGGAATTCAAACCACGTGACTTTGCCAACCTGCCGGCATTTTAAAATATCATTGTTACCACTGTTGGAATATGGCTCGAACATATCAATGATGTCAGATAAGTGTCAGATTGCCTTATTGTCAGCAAAGGCTGATCAGAAAATATCTCCAACAGCATATAGATGAAAATTTTGGCCAGTTATCACGTATTTAATTTATATACAATCAGTTTGAAGTCACGTGTGAAAAAAATCTGTCGCATTTGCGAGGTCATTTCCGAACGCGCCCACACTGGGCGGAAATGACTTTGCATTGATAATCCCGCCAAAAGAAAACGTATGGTTTTTGTTTATTGTGTGCCAACCAGGCGCCATTTTTGACAGGTCGTTGGATTGCCTTGGCGTCTGTTTATGTAATGAAAAACATTCAAATTATTTTATTTTTTTTCAGATTCACTCGTGAATTACAAAAACTAAAAAGAATGGCGGATTACACCTCTCGTGACTCAGCAAACATAAACAATTTCCTACAATCATTAGGACCAGAATTTTGCACTTATACTTACAGTGTCCTAAACGCCGGCGTAGAAACTAAAGACGCCTTGCGAAATATATCAGAAGATCAGTTGATGCACGAATGTGGCATTACAAATTCCATCCATAGGTTTAGAATCATGGAAGGCATCAGACAATTAGAAAATAGGATAGGTAGTGAACTCAACGATGAAAGTCCCGATAAATCTTTAGACGTGTTTGTGAGCTATAGAAGATCTACTGGGTCACAGTTGGCAAGTCTACTCAAAGTTCATCTACAGCTTAGAGGTTTCAGTGTTTTTATTGATGTTGAAAGACTGGAAGCGGGAAAATTCGACAACAATCTCTTACAGAGCATACACAAGGCCAAGCACTTTTTGTTGGTGCTAACACCGAATGCTTTAGAGCGGTGCAAGCATGATATTGAGAAAAAAGACTGGGTACATAGGGTAAGGTCTTTTGCCATTTGTCGAGAGAATATTATTCCTTTAATAAAAAAAATCTATTACAGGAAATCGTAGCAGCTCTGTCCGCAAATTGCAACATAATTCCCATCATTGACAATTTCACATTCCCTGAACCTGATGAATTTCCAGAAGACATGAGACAAGTCTGTCATTTCAATGCTGTACGATGGATCCACGACTACCAAGACGCATGTGTGGACAAACTTGAAAGGTGTGTATCGATTTTATAAATCAATATGAATTGGATTTTTATTTTTATATTTATAATCGAGGTTGAGACACATATTATCAGACGAAAACCCTTATGGATCTCTAAGGTATATAATTAAAATATGATTGAGTTCATGATATCGCTACCGGAGTGCTAAATTGAGCATAATCAATGCCTTTATAGAGCTTACCTAATGGAAGGTATTAAAGGGTATCGAAAGAGTATTTTTTCAGAAATCACAACAGTCAGAGCGATTTTAAAATCATATATAGCATTACTTACCTGTCCTACACTGTAAACTATCAGTTAATACCTAAGCCAAACCCTTGGCAGCTGAGAAATAAATGATCTGGTGGTATTTTTGTCCATTATGCTGTCCAGTAGAAAAAGAGAACTGATTTCCCAGTTTTATAGAGATATTTGGTACAAACTGAAATTGCAAAATGTTACCAGCCATCATATTGCCTCAAACATATTGGACGTAGTTGTTAAGACCTTTTCAATGAAATCGCACTATAACATTTTTGTATTTTATCGGAAACTTTGAAACATTTTCAATACACAACTAACTGAAACATTTTCGTTTCGGATTTTCTTTCTTATTTGACACTCTCACACACAATCAAAGAAAACATTTGTTTTTTTTAAATTTTGGTGTCGGTAATGAGCAATATGATGAACGATGTATGCAAAAGTGAGCTCATCATTTGTGCAAATCTCTTTTAGCAGTATTTTTGTTTTTTTTTTTTCACCATTCCTGAATCTTTGGCAAATCTGATATGATGCATGTAAAATAAATATGAAAATAAAGTCCATTCAAAGTGTGTTTTCAACCCTTTAGGTAATAAATTATAATAAATCTGGGTTAGGGCTAAACAGCAAACAATTTTATTAGCAGGAATTATTTTAAAAAATATGTCTAAAATACCTACTCTTCTTTTTTTTGCATGCAATTTTGGTGTGTATACTAATTGAAATGTTATAATTTTAACGGCATAAGAAATGGATCAATAAATTTATTTTAATGTCACTTAGTGCTTCTATTTTGGCAGAGCAGCACAGAAAATTTTGTAGTATTTCGAAATTTCTGGTAGTTAGGTAGGTAGGTACTGGTTACAATGTGCTGCCTTAACTTGTCTTAGTTTGCGCCCATAGGTACATTTCAGTGAAGCTACCTGCTACTTAAACACCACCTTTAAGTCCAAACTTACATTATAAAAAACCAAATGAATAGAGATCTACACTCATATAATATTTGTCTAACTAATTTTCAGGTTTCTTACTGGAACAACACTGAGCAGTGACAATTAGAAAGCTTTCAATAGTATTTTTATAATATCTAATGATGTAATATTTATGAAAAAGTGCATGTTCTTTTTTGTGAATAATTTGTTTAAATATATTTTATTTGGTGCTGGCATACACTTTTTTATTTTTCAACTTTCAATATACAAATTTACAGAGCTTTCAAAACACAGTTTTTAGTTCGTGGAAGAACGTAATTAAACATTTTACCTAAAATATAAATTTGGCAAACGCAATACAACAACTACCTACTCTTCAGCTTGCGTTTTTTGTAGCTCACCTATTCGATATCCTCTTCATAAGACGAAAAGTTTTCCCCCTTCTAATGCCAAAATATTAATTAGACAAAAATATTTAAAAATAATTTGTCCAACTATTTTGTTTGTTTAGGTGTGTGAATTGCAGTTAAGCATAAGATCCAATGTTTCTTTTAATTTACCTCTTGGCTCTAAATTTTATCTAGTTTTCTATCACAGTTAATACTTATAATAAATAAAGAAATAATAATCGGTTTTTTTGGTACCTACCTAATTTTGTAATATCCTAAATTATATAATGCCTGTCTGGTAAATAATACAGATTGTTATTTTGTAGAAGAATCCGTCGAAATCTTAAGAGAAGATATTGATTCTACTTCGCAGTTGTAAATGCTTCATACAAAAATGGCATGAACCAAAAACCGCTAAAATTATTATTTACAAATAGATAACATTCCCTTGTAGAGTTAACAAAAGTGAGTACAGTCTTTACACACTTATTAATTTGGTTTCAAAAAAAATATATATAAACATTAGCTACTCATTTGAATCGAACGTCCCTGCCTGACTTTTATGCAAAGAAAATAGTTAAAGTTTCAAAAGCATTATTCACGCATATTCTTCTTGCATGCTGCACTTAATCTGGCTAAGGTAAGATTTTTTAAATAAAATTTAAGCACTTTGTGACATTGTCATCCAGCACTTGTCCAGTGTTAGGAAAGGGGTTTCTTTATGTTGGAAGCATGTGTGCATTAACTTTTTGGTCAGGATTTTAGGCAGAGCAAAGTTTTTTGAAATAATTGTTTGTTTAGGAGGTTCCTGTAATTCGTCACTAGTCGCTAGTGTCAAACATCTTCAGTATAAACATTTTTGTACAGGATATGGTGACTATTAATATTTTATGTGCCGAAGATTTATGTCCTAACGTAATTTGTGCTTGTTTGCCACTTACTGCAACTTACTAACTTACCATAATCAAAGCGTCTGCCCTATTTATCATTTAAGAATATGAAGTTTTGTATCTAACCAACACGCTTGATAGAGGGTACACAATACTCCACCTCTTATGTCATATGTCAGTATTATCTTTCTAGACCCAATTGTTCAAATTGATGCTGATACTTCAAACTGCCCAACAAAATGTATATTTGTGACAACATGGTGTTTTATATGGGCAGCTTTAAGTACCTTGTCATTTAACTGCACTTACCCGCTCGAATGTTGAAACCAATGTCTGATTTCAAAAAATTGACTTGAATTATTGGGTATTACTTAATTGACAATATTTATGATGATGTCTTGTGGTTGTTTTTAGAGTATTTAGGCAAAACATGAATTATTTTATTTTCAGGTTCATGCGGGGTGAACTAAACGCCCGAAGCAACGAAGGTAGTCTGATTAGAGCAGGGGTGGGCCTAAATAAAGGTGATATCACCCCTGGCACCCCATCCAACCCAAATTTGGTCAGGCAGCCGCCCAGTTACCAGCGCATGCACAGTAACGATTCAGGAAGCGGCAAAGGATCTGATAAAGATTTAAACGGGGGAGCAGGTATGAGGGATTGACTAGATGGTCCCCATGCCTCGGTTAATGCTCCTCCTACACCTCTTCCAAGGTAAGAATAACATTTAGAAACTAGATAGCTCTACGAAAGTCTGAGATTGAATGCTTGAGATGTATGGACGACACTCGATTCCACTTTCGGTTTCGCCATGGAAATTTATCAACTTCCCAACACCATATAATATTATTTTAATTTTGGAAAAAAAATCAACCCTTTCCCGATCCGATAGGACCATTGTTCATAGATATCGCTTAGAAAATTTTGGAAAACAAATTCGCCTTCTGTTCCGAAGTTTAAATTTTTACTTTTGTTTGAGAAAGATTCATGGTTGAAACAATTTGGTACCAATGTTTTTCTATTTTTTTATTTTTTACACATTAATTCAGGGATGATAAGTTTTGACTTTGCCAACGGAAAGTGGCGGTAGAAGCTATTAGAAAAGCTCATGTAAAAAAGGGTTTGTTTATTGGAGTTGCTTTCGGTTATTTTCATTGAAGCGTTTGTAATTTTTTTTTTCCTGAAGTTTCTCAAAGCGCTGGAATTTTCACAAAAACAGGAATATTGGAAATTGAGATAAGATAACTATATACGTATACAGCTTATTTTGAACTGGACCTGCTGCTGTTATCATATGACATTGAAAACAAAATGCCTCATGTTAGTTGCCTTGGTCATGACACAAATAATTATGAAAATGAAATAATTTGCCCAATTGTGCCAGTCGGCATGACGCGCATGATTGAAATGATGAGATTAGAAGGAAACTGAATTGCAATAATTACATAGAAGAAAATTTTGAATGGAACTACCACAAGAAGTATAAACCATTCGGCTTGTGTCACCCAAGAATTGTAAGATATTCTTAGCAAAAAAAAACACTTGCATTTTAAGATTGACTAGTTTTTTGAGTGATAGCTCAATATGCTATACCTACATTTAATTCTGGATGTATCGCAGCGCATTGATCTCCCTACAATCCAAAACACCACGTTTGAGAATAATCATGATCGTAAGTGTCAGAAAAGGAAGCTTGAATCAAAACTGATGATAGCACACATGTCAATATAGCATGTATATTATAATATAATTTATTATAATTATTTGCTCTGAGACATGGAACCTTGATGCATCTGAAGTCCATTACCTAAAAATTTATGATTCGGTATACAGTAGCCGAAAATATTATCAGAACGATGGAATTATTGCGCATATTAAAGATACGATTGAATGTAAGAGAGGTCTCTCACACTCCTTTCCGGAATGATCTAGAAACCTATATCAATGGACCGCAGAGAAGTCAGAGAACTAATTTTCATCGGAGACCTAAACATTGATATCAGCAACAAAAAATATACAGCCAATCGGTACTTAAACATACTACACACAGAAGGACTAGTGCTTGCTATAACAAAACACAACATTACATAATCCTGTTGTATAAACAATATCTTTATGAAAGGCAAAGACAATTATTATAATGACATTACTCGCATAAATGGAATGACTAAATTGACAGACCATTACCCAATAGTGCTAAGCTATCACTACACCGATTATACCAAGTTATAGCACACCATACCCAAAAAACTAGGACCATAGAATCGCAACCATTGGGCATATTGGGCTCATTAGGAAATGAAGTTTGGGATATTTCCATCTTCCTTGATAATTAATGACCCAAGTGTTCAGACAGATTTACATATACATAAATTGCAAGAACACCATTACTGCTGCCACTCCATAGACGAAACAGATAGAACAAGTATAAGCATAAAAAAATCCAATTTATTTGGAACAATTCAACTAATATAAGAGGTACAAAAATAAGCTAACTTCATTTCGTGTGAAAGTGGATAATGATAACTAAGGAGGCTATGGACACGATAAATAACATAAGGGAAGTAAGCTTAACAGTGAAATAACTGACAAAAAAATTATAGCAACTTTGTTAAACAACCATTTCAGTAGCATTGGAACAAGTCTGGCAGATATGATACCAGCACGCAGTACAAATGCCAGTTATAAGATTAATCCAAGCACATTTCACCGGCCGGCACCCAGGAAGTAAAAGTGAAATTTCTAAGAGATTGCAAGAAATCGATATAAGTGAGGCTACTTGCCTAGACAAAACCCCATCAATAGTAGTGAAAATAGCAGCAAGTCATCTGACTCCTGTCATCACAAAGGTTATCAACCTATGTTTAGATAATTAGTTGTATACATCCGGACCAAAAACTTCGGAATAATGAAAAATAAATTAAGAAGAGTTGTATACCTATTAAGAAAGCTAAAGCCGCATATACAGCAGATGATTTATCACGCTCTATTCCATTCGGTATTGAGCTATGGTATCATATCTTTTGGCAGCGCTTATAGCAATGCCAGTGCTTCGAACTCTGTACGTAGGTACCAAACTGTACAACTTTACAACATTAGACAATTCTTTAGAGTAGTACATACAGCCAACATTTGTATAATTTACATAGCTGTGACTATTAAAGAATGTAGAACAAACAACAACATAAAAAAATGGAATATAGCATCGAAAAGTACTTAATAAAAAGGATATCTTCATACCTTCAACTCATTTTACAATGGGACAAAGGTATCTATACTAAGATAATAAAGCCAAAGCAAACGCACTACTCTGGAACTACCTACCAGTCGGATTTGAAAAATTATTTTGGCTTTTGTTGGCTCAATCCTTGAGGAAGGTTATAGGCTATTTAACATGACACTAAGGCCTTTAGGAAACGAAGTAATAGCGCGGGTGGGCGATGCGATGCAGTAGGTCGGGGCCTTCGCCCGACAAGAACAACAGAATTTCTTTCAGGTTGTTTTAAAGATATATTGTTGATTGGAAATATTGTTTTTGCTATGCTAAATTAGTTATAATTTATCAGATTTCTTTTAAATCAAACGGTGGGTGAAACCGCGGGGAACAGCAACGAAACGATGGGCCGAGCAGAGATTGACTTGTGCAGATTTAGCCAAAAAAGCAACCGAAACAGTAGAATATCTGTTTTGTGGATGTCCGTTTAGTATTGCGAGAGGCTGGAATACTTTGACGGTGCACGGCTAACGCCCCAAGAAGTGAGCACCATACAATCCAAGAAGCTGGCTTCTTTTGGGAGAAGCCTACGTATCTTAGACACCAACTGGAAGTAGCAGAGACATGCACAAAATATCTGGAAAGGTAGCAGCGCTGAGCAGCTGTATCAGTCTTACCTGTCCCAAAACTTCAGACAGTGGCCAGTGTATGGAGAAAGACAGTAACAACGTGTATGCAAAATTTCAGTACAGTGTTAAGTTCATGTGTTCAATAAATAAAGATAAAGATGAGAGTTGAGGAATTTTAATGGCCTTAGATGTATGACTTATAAGGAGGAATTGCTCACAATGTCTTAGTCCATAGAAATAACACACGAAAAACCACATCCGCGAAGAGATATATTCACCAAACGTAAAGGCCAAATTAGATAACGGTTCCGAGTCTAGGTGGAAAGTGATTGTCGTTACATCCCTGGCGATCGACCATGCTGCTAAATGAGAATCTTCGAGAAAAAAAATTCCAACATGAGTACTTAGGCACAATAGATACCTACTGAAAAAAACCCTTTTTGCATCAATAATGCTTGCTTTTTCAAAATTAACAAAACCCTTAGACTAATTATACAATTTCAGTTCCTAATTACAGGTACTTCAAGGCAGGAAGTCCGTCTAGAAATTGGATTATGAATCCAAAATCCAGAGGATTGCCTCCACAGTATCCATGCCGAAGAGGTTCAACTGCACCTATATCGTCTTTGGTCTTAACTAGCACCTCAAGCACTCCCAATAGATCTCGTAGTTTAGATGGCCTTTTGGATTCCGAATCAAAAATATCTGACATCGTCACGGAAATATCCCCAAATCCGTCCGAATCAGCCGATAAGGGCTGTAATGATTATGACTCTAATACTGATAAACAGACTGACATGCCTACCGATTTTAGTAAAATTAAAGCCCATAGCTTAGATGACATTTTGGTTAACAACAATAATTATAATAATAGCGGTGAATGGGATAAACATTCAATTGATAGTACTTCTAGTGAGTCCAAAAGAAAAAAAAAATTCATGGATCGATGTGTTAATAAAGTGAGATCTCTTATCAAAAAATGAATACATATAATGGCAGCATATAGCTTTGATATTGTAATTTTGTTAGGTTTGAGACTAATTTTAGAACAACCAAAACAAAACAAAAATACTATGTATTTAATATTTGCATATTTAAGGGTAGAAACTACTGTTACAGTGAAGAAAGTGATATTTTTGTTATCCAATTTTTGGTTTTATGGCAACTAAATTACTTGTTAGTACAAATATGTATGCTTTTTTTTTACGAAAATTTGTATAGTCTCCAAAAATGTGTGATTAAACCAAGGACGAAGAGAAAAGTGACCTTAGTTTAGGAATAAAAAAAGTATTTCTAATATTTATATACAGGTATGAGTGAAGCTACTTATACTTTACTATTTCATGTGTTTTAACATAAAATTTATATAGTTTTTAGTAATGACAGGTTTTTCCAAACCATAAATACCAAAGCTTTTGCTTCACATTCTAAGCAAAAGATAATAGTGGTATAACTTTTTATGTCTTATTTGTTTTCAATAACATTTTTTTGTAGTATTGCATAGTTTTATTTATTTGAAAAAATGTTTTTGTCTCATGTATTTGTTTTTCTTTGTTCAAGAATTTTTTGTGGCACGTTTTTGTTTGAGATTGTTTTGTTGGATCCCTTTGGTGGCCCAACCAAAAAAAAAACAATATCGATCGATAATTTGCTTAAGGGAATTTTTTTCCCAATTGTATTTGTGCAATGTATTTTGATTGATTGATAAATTTGTGTTTTTTTAATGTTTATATAAGTTATTGAAAATGAATTAGATGGAACACCATGATTACTTTCAATGTTATCGTTATTATTGGTGTTCTTACATTTTAAATAATCAATTCATTATATTTTTAGGTAAATAGAAATTAAAACGTTTTTCTATTTTATGTTACATTTAAAATATATTTTATTAAAAGATTGTTTGTATTTTTTGTTGCTCCCTATTAATATGGGCAATATGGCTGAACAGGGAGCTTCAAATAGACGAATTTTTGAAAAAGGACTGCTTCTTGTCATCGACTTCACAGTTGGTTACTACTTGGATAAGCTTCGTCATAGTTAATAATATATTGTATTTAAAAAATATTGAAATATTGCTTAAGTTAAGCATGAACTTCAATCTTCAGGTGCGGTCCTTTACCATTCACGCATTTTGGGGGGGATTTTTGCTGTGATGCAATGTGGCCATACTGTTGGCAGTTCGCGTTCGACGTACGTCAGGCAGAGCAGACGTGCGCTAGCACATGCCTGAATACTCCTTTTTTTTCTTGGTATAAAGTATATAGTTAACTTGTAGTAAAGTATGGAAATCTCTCCTAAAAATGGGGGTCTATCGACTTTTAATTTGAAAAATCAAAAAATGTGTGTGGAAGTGTGAGAAATAAGTGTTTGAAAATACAAAACTGTAAGTACCACAGGCATATAGATCATTTTCGCTTATCGCTTCGGTGGCCTTCCTGGGAAATGTTTTTATCGCCAAAACTTTCCTTTATACATCTGATAAAGGACCCGGCTTTGAAAACAATTTATTTTAAATGTTTATGTTTAAATAAGATGCAAGAGACCGGTTGTTTGTGAACAAGTTATATTAACCAATTGCTATGCTAATTAATAATCAATTATTTATTTTTTTATATGCTTTAATGAGCTTATCCTCTTCCACCATGATTTTTTAGATGCATTGTTGTAAAGTAAACATCAAGTTGCTAAATCGGCATTAATTGTGTTTTAATTAATTAAATAAATGTTTTTTAAAACACAAGTTTCTGAATCGAAAATTTAATTGGCGCAGTCGTAAGGATACTCAGAGTGCTTAAGTTTCGGGTAAGTCGATACAGTCGTGATCCATCGCGAAAGTTTCAAAAGACTGAAGAAAGTTCGAAAAAGTGAATTCTTCGGGAAAGTGAAATTTGGATTATCACTGCTGCTGCAGATACTGTCCACTTCGAATTGGTTAACTGAGTTAAAGCAATAACAAGAAACAACATGTAAAGAAAGACTTAGGCCGCTCGTCCATTAACGCAACATGTCGCTGTCAATTTGTTTCTGACGAATGTCTATAACAAATGTCATAAGAAAATTCTCGAGTTCGTTCACTTGTAAGCATTATGTCGTCGGACGAGGACATATACCTATACTTATATACGTATAGATGAAAATAAGAGAAATCAAAACTACCCCACAACTTTCCTATTAAAAACACAAATTCATTGGATTATTATAACTTCATTCCAGGTTTTCTCCTGAATTTCTCTATTTGAAAATTAGTTTAGAGTGTAATCATTGATCATATAAAACTTTGTATTTTTCAATGGTCTGCACAAATTCAATATTAAAACCTGGGGCGGGTCGTCTGTCATTTTTCTACAGAAGCTCCCGCTCGATCTGGAAAGCAAACGACGAATGTTGGCAGAAAATAAAGCAAGCAGTGTCGCATGAAAATTGTCGGCGTCATGCTTTGACTTGTTTGCGACGTGACCGATTAATGGATGAGGATTCATTTAGAAGTAAGCGTTTTATATGTATAAAAAAGACACGTCGACAACATGTCAAAGACATGGCGCAAACAAATGTCTTTTAGATGGACTACCGGCCTAATGGTATAAGCATCGTGCCTAGTAAGGCCGGTCGTCCATCTATACGGCATTTGTTTGCGCCATGTCGCCGACATATTATCGTCGTGTCTTTTTCATATAAAACGCTTACTTTCAAAATGAATCCTCATCCATTAATTGGATACGTCGCTAACAAGTCAAAGCATGTCTACGACAATTTTTATACGACACTGCTCGCTTTATTTTCGGGAAACATTCGTCGTTTGTTTTCCAAACCAAGTGGGAGCTTCCGTAGAAAAATATGATCAGTGATCACACTCAAAAATCTAAAGGCCCATTTATAAACTTGACGTTTTCCGTTTGCGCCTGCCGTTGTGAACATAAAAATATAGGATTCCATAAGATCGTTTAGATTCGCCGTCGGCCACACCGTCCGCCGTTAGCTCTGCCGTTTCATTCCGTCAGACATAAACCAATTTTATCTTTTCCGTCGTCGACGTCTGTAGCAAGTCATGCTACAGTTTGAGAGAGCCAATCAAAACGGATTTTCACCAATCATGTGATGTTTACTTCAAATGTCATCGAGCTGAGGTGCGAGAGGGGAAAGATTATTTTAATTTTTGGAATTTTAAATTTTGTTTGGGTTCATGTTATCAATCAGTAAACAATGGTAAATCACCACCAAATCGTCTAAATCACTCACAAAATGACAACATGAGGGCACAAGCACAACAGAGGTTATGTTTATTATTTACATTTTGAGAACGTCAGCCGGCAAGTTTATAAATGGTCCAATTTATGTGGCTACGGACGAAGGGGCTAACGGCGAGCCCGTCTGTAGGCGCAAACGGTAACGGAATCGTAACGTCAAGTTTATAAATGGGCCTTAACCAATATTCAAACAGACAAATTCAATGAAATCTGAAAAATGAAATTTGCAGTGAAGAATGGATTTTTTTTATTTTGATTTCGCTTTCTTCTCCTTCGAACTAACGCGAGTAGCAATAATACATCCTCGTCCGCCGCCATAATGCTTACAATTGAACGAACTCGAGAAAGTTCTCACGACATTTGTCTTCTGATATTCGTCAGAAACAAATTGTTGGCGACATGTCGCGTTAATGGACGACCGGCCTAAGTAGTACATCCTTTCTCTTTGAACATTTTGTAATTGGTGTTCCATAATTAAGATTTTTGGATTTTTGATCTTTTATAATTTCCAATTTTTAATTCACTGAGAAGACTTAAATTCAGATTTTTGTTCTTTTGCAATAATTCCAAAACGGTTTGCTGAGAAGAATGAAATCAAAAATTAATAAGTAACTAAGAATTCACGAACCCACAACAACAAATAATTTTAAGAAAAAACAACCCATAAGACTGATTAATTAACTTTAATTTTAGAATAAAAATTAAATTTTAAAATATTTTAACATTTTAAATTTTTCAAAATAATTTCTTTTCTCAAAGAATTATGTATGTCAGATTCTGAAGAAAAAATCGAGAATCTATCAACTCAATTTAATTTACCTCATCTTTATAATTCTAATTCAAGAAGTAATAACCAATTATCAAAGACCAACAGTAACAATAAGTGAAAATTTAAAATCAATCGTTCAACCGATCAAACCTTTCAGTGGAGAAAGCAGAAGCTTTGAGAAGAAAATATGGTGATCAATATTCTAGACAAAACTTGGCACAAGAGTCGCATTCGATTCGTAACGCAGTTCAGTTCAGGGGTCCTATTTTCGCATACGAAATTTGATACGATTTCGAATGCTTCCCATCTAATTTACATTGGTGACAGTCAAATTTCGTGTACGAAATGTACTCGAATGGTTTCGAAAATCGCACCCCGGATCGATCTGAACGAAAAAAGTAGGTTTAATTCGATTACTGTAAACTGTCACTTGTCACTTGTTCGTTTGGTGCAGAAAGTTTTTTTGTTTTTTGGGCAAATATTCAAAATAATCAAAATTTAAACACAGTTTATACAAAACTGTGATTAAAATAATCATAAACCATCAAACGTCCAACAATCAAACAGAACAAGAATCTAAGCCCACATGATCTAGTTTAGTTAAATTGAACCAGATCAATGTAATATAAGAGGTTATGTATACCACCAAAATTAATAAAGAAACTATAATTGAATATTTGGATGGATAAAATAAAACGTTTAGTTCAAAGAATCACATCTAAAATCATGTGCGACCCAAATTTAACGGCAGTTGCAAATGTTTTGATTGAATAAAATGAGATAATTGCAATTCAAAATTTAGTCACTTATTCGCCAATTCTAGACCTACGGCCGAGAAGAAGAAGTTACTTCATCGGGTACAAAAGATTTGAGACTCTTGGATAAAAGTACTTTATGTGCATATCTTAAAACCAGCGGTCAACTTCACAAATGACAGCTCGTCAAAAAGACGAAAATCTGGGTTTTGTTACCTCATGGGTACATGCCTGAAAATTTCAGAGTGTGTAGGAAAAAACTCCTAGATAGGTACCTAATTCGGCCGGCAGACGTCTATATTTGGACGCCTACGTAAAGCAGACGCCCGCCGTGACGCCGAAAATCTGATGTAAGTTACCTCATGAGGTACATATGCAAATTTGGGCTTAAATGAAAGGTATTTGTGTGTAGAGTAAACAAATATTTTTTAAAATTCGGCAGACGGTCAACAACAAGTTGCAGACGCTCTCGAAAATTTAGATTTCGGTGTTAATACAGCGTAAAATAAAAAATCTTTAATAAATAACTACACATTTATTACCATAATAAATAATTCTGACCTATAAGATAAATAATAGTAGATACCTATTCTAGATATCTACTCCTTTAAACTTAGAAAGCTACATATCATTCTGCCAAAACTCACATACAAATTTGAACAAGGTTTGTTTAAAATTGTCGTTTCGCATTGCCTTCATAAAATCTGATGGACGTTGTTGTGCAGAACCCTGACTTAAGAATTGCATACTTCTTTCATATAAATTTGCTCGTTTATTACGCTCAATATCTTGTTTTTTACCCGATACCGACGATATAGACGAAATTGAAGAGATAATGCATGATTCTTCTGATGAACAATAAAAATTAATTTTAATTTTATGCACAAAAAATTTAGAAAACAATCTTAATATTCCCTATTTTTCAGATATTATTTTGTCATTTTTTCCTATATTTTGCTGAAAGTGTCCTTAACATACACTACTAGCTTTTCAGCTCGTGCCATATTTTTATTAGGTAATATTATTTTGTTTTAAGTCTGATGCAGTCGAAGAGTTTCTCGACTTTAAGTCATATTTTACTACTTTCTGGTTAGATTTCTGAAATTTTGTTTTTTTTTTATGTATGGCATTTTTATTATTTCTGAATGCTAGGAGTTCCTATTTACTTTTTCATCTTCTGTACCTGTTTTGTTTGTATATAT